GCCGTTTTACTCGGCATTTACAGTACTTTCCTGATGGCGGACTAAAACCGGCCGCATTTCGGTAAGCACGGAACAGCAAAAACTCGAGGTTTTTATCGATTTCAGAAAAAACATCGTTAAAAAATCGACGCAGAAAACAACCTCTCTTCCAAAGCAAACCAAACATTCACACTTCTTCACATATTCCTGCAAAGACGCAGAATGTGCTTAAATCCCAAGCAAAAACACAGTTGTAACATGACCACCTTCTGTCTGTTGCTCTGAAGCACATCCCTAAGCACTCGTTTGCAGCGCCGTTGGCGCGGCAAACGAAGTGAATGGACCCTAGTCTGACCCTACTCGTAGTAGTAGTAGTAGTAGTAGTAGCAGCAGCAGTAGTAGTAGTAGTAGGAGTAGTAGTAGTAGTAGTAGTAGCAGTAGTGGTAGTAGTAGTAGGAGTAGTAGTAGTAGTAGTAGCAGCAGCAGCAGCAGGAGCAGGAGCAGCAGCAGTAGCAACAGCAGCAGCACCAGCCGCAGTAGTAGTGGTGGTGGTGGTGGTGGTCGTGGTAGTGGTAGTGGTAGTGGTAGTGGCAGTGGTAGTGGTAGTGGTAATGGTAGTGGTAGTAGTAGCAGTAGTAGCATTTATGAGCAGTTGTGCTAGTAGCGGAAGTGGCTCTACGCCTCTTGCTGTCTTGGTCGGAAAGATTACGACCAGTTTCCTGAAGTCTACTCTCGCTGCGAGAGAGCTGGGATGCCGACTTTGCTGCGTGAGACACGCGATATACCTCTGCTAAGATGTCGGCTTCGAAGTTTGATGGCGTGGCGCTCGGTTGTCAGGGGTTCCGGGTTTACAAGTGTCTTGCATGAGGTCTGTTGCCGAATGCTTCTGTTGCAAAATCTGCGGAACCGCACTTTGTCGTTTACATATACACATTGTATAAGTATGTGCATATACATAGCTAGAGATAGAGAGAGAGAGAGAGAGAGAGAGAGAGAGAGAGAGACATATATATATATATATCTTTTTCATTTATGTATAGACATCGGTACATCGACAGATGGGGCCTGTGCATGGTGTTTTGCACCTGGTATGCTCATACCTTACTGTCTATGACCGCGTTTCATTAGATGGACTCATTGCAAGGTACAAGTTTGCATGCTTCAAATGACTCTATTGCCTGACAGTATACAAATATGATATTCTGCGAGGTTATGCACCAGAAATATATGCATATGTACAAACATATGCGTGAGCGGCTATAGAGGAACAGGGCCATCACTCGATAAATCTATGATTGCACTTACGCATACATACCCGGGAAGTCTCCACAATAAAGTTTCGTTGCATGCACTGTCTGCAGCTGTGGTGAAGACAAAGAGGTTGAGATGAGGTTGAGGTTAGATTACAATAACTCTTCTGGACGATGGACTTGTGGAGTAATTAAACAACATGGAGTGCGACAAACGTTCGGTCCGGCACAGCGGTGGATGCACGTTTATGTACTGCATACTGATATCGATATAGATACAGAGATCGATATACATATAGATACAGCTACACATGCAGATACAGATATAGATACAGCTACACCTGCAGATACAGATATAGATACAGATACATATGCAGATATAGATATAGATACAAATGAAGCTTTAGATAGAGATAAAGACATAGAGATAAACATAGACATAGAGATAGAGACAGATATAGATATAGATGTAGATATGCACACAGAGCTGGCGCTGCTCCTATTGTTTCAGTCATATGCCGTGTTCAGAAGGTTTCTTTATCAGTTCACGATGCAAATGTTAAGCAAGTATTATGCCATGCTAGAACATCTTGCGGCACATGTCTCGTCGACATGAAGAGACCCCTTCTTACAGGATATTTGGACGTGCAGCCCCTTGCCTTGGGTACATTACTGCACTGGAATATGCTCACGTCTGTGCCAGTACCCAGTATGCTTTTCCTCAGCAACCTTACCGCACCATACAAGAAACCCATCTTGCTGTTCATGCTCCTGAACATACGTTTTCATTATAACTAAGTGTGTATATATATATATG